TGCTTCATTTTCTTTTCTTTCAACTCACTAAGTCTTTAAGAGGATGCCAGTCTTTCTCCATCATGGGGGATAATTTCTACTCTATATTTTAAAAATTGCATCTTGGTAACTCCTTTCCAACATCCATGATGACATACACAGCTTGCGTAGTAATGAAATGTGTAATGTTGACTATGAAAGATGTTGTTTTGGAGCAATACATATAGCATTATTTTCATCCCATACTTGTTAGAAATTTCAACTAGATAGAATTTATATTTCACCATCCAACTTATATGTATCAGCTGCACGCCAAAGAAGAATGCATTCTTGTAATAGTGCAATGATACAACTTCAGTCTTTGAAGTTTAAGTCATTACTCAACATCTAGTATTTTAATATTGTGAAAATAGGTGCTAGTAGTAAAGACTAATAAGTATATTACCAGTCAAGTTCAATCGCTATTACGACAGCAGTATGAAGACAATGAAATGAAATAAAGTATGTGAAAAATATACTAATAAATAATAAAATGGATTCCAAATAAGTACTGAAAAATTAGAATTTATCAGCCTTCGTGCTTAGAACTTGAGACTTTTATTCATTGGAGAGAAGTTGGATGTATTCATAGCTTTTTCTTAAGCTTGAGCAAATCCATCCGTAGTCATCAAAAGGCATTATATGGTATAATCTGTTGAATATGATTTCTATAATGGGTTCCCAACGAAGGCGAGTCAACATTCTCGTGTTTAAATGCATAGATGACTTGCCAGTGGAAGAAAGACATGGCCTTCGATAACTTCAAGGGCTTCATTTACTACATAACGTACTTGCACATGCATTAGGTGGTCCCCAAGTTCCCTTTCAAGGCCTTTCAAAAATATTGTTAATTATATATTTCATATTTTGGCGATTTTGTTTATATTGATTCTTATATATATATATATATATATATATATATTGTATCACCCCCAAGAAAGTGTATGATGGATAAAAAAAGAGAGTGTATGATATTTATGTGAGAAATAATGTTAGCATCCAATTAGCGTTAGATATGTGACGAAAAATAATTTATGATATTGCGTCGGAATTAGCACCCAATTTGCATCGAAAAATTCAACAGTATGAGGGTTCCGTAAATGGCGAAATTTATCTTTGGATTTACGACGGAGTTTGCGTCGAAAAAAACATTGCAAATATATTACTTGTTTTCGTCGAACAAGTCCAACGCAATTTAATGAGCTTTAGGAGATCAGAAATAAGAGTTACGAAAATGCAAAGATTTATAAAGAAAAGATGAAATTATGTCATGATCAGAAGATTTTAAGAAATGATTTAGAACTTAGACCAAAAGTTTTACTATACAATTCTAGAGTGAAATTATTTCCTAGGAAACTGAAGTTCAGGTGGATGGGGCTATTGATTTTGGTTAATGGTGCTGTGGATATCAAGGATCCAAAAAATGATAGAATTTTCAAAGTAAATCGACAAAGGCTGAAACATTACTTTGATGGAAGTAGACCTATAGTTAATGAAATCTTAAGGTTGGTCAACCCGAGTAAGTTGTAAATACGTCAAGTAGACGACATTAAACCAAACACTTTGTGGGAGGCAACCCATATTTATTAGAGTGGAATAAGTATAGTTTGTTGAGATTTGATTGTGAGTATTTGCTTGCTTGTATTTCGTGTTTGAGAGTCGCACATGTGAAGTTACTACTTAAAATGCTATAATCCATAACCTAAAGGAGGTTAGGATGTGTATGTGGACCGAAGGCGAACCGGTTTTCAAGTGTTCACTTTTGCCTAGGCGCCTAGGTTCTAGCACACAAAGAACATGGCGCCTAGGTGTTATAGTTACAGAATCACGATTGTTGTGGTTTTTTCAGAAACCTACGAGAGTGCCAATTATTTTCTTGGAATCATAACTGAGTTATGTGATTACCTAAGGTCAAGTAATAAGGTAAGTTTGGGGGTATTCACATTCATCAATTTAATGTGATTTTACATATATTTTTAATTTATCTGAGATACACACTTGAGAAATTTTTTTTATTGATGTTGTGCAGGTTGCAGGTTATAAATACAAACAACTTGGAACGAGAATATCCAACGAAGAATTGACCTAAAGCGGCGTAACCACACAACTTATCATGGGAAGCAGTGAGACCACGTCAAAATTGACATGTCTACGACATACATGGAAAACATGTGGCGTGACCACGCCGTAGTCCTGTGTGACCACGGCGCACTAGTCAACACTCTAGCATGACCACGCTAGTTTTGGGCGTGACCTCGCTAACGAACGGGAAAACTCTTTTGAAAGGAAAATTGCTTGCCAAATTTGTGGTTCTTGCTATAAGAATGATTTTTAGGGTTTCGTGGAGAAAATTCTAGAACAAAGAAGAGTTAGAGGTTGCTAGAGGCTTAGATTAATGAGAATTTGAGTGCTTTCCTTAATGTCTTCTTCCTTCCTTGGTTGAAACATTCAAGAGTGAGTTTTTTCTCTATTTTGTGAGATGTAAGATGTTATTGTATGAAAGGAAGGGTTGTTGCTATTGTGGAAAAGACAGGTTATTGTAAATGATCAATTTCTTAGGTTTCAAAATTCTTAATAGTTTTTATTTTTTTAATTTTGGGATCAAACCCTCTACTTTGTGAGATGTAAGATGTTATTGTATGAGAGGAGGGGTTGGTTCTATTGTGAAAAAGACAAGTTATTGTAAATGATCAATTTCTTATGTTTCAAAATGCTTAATAGTTTTTATTTTTTTAATTTTGGGATCAAAGGGTACCACTTCGCAATGCCCAACAAAACACATACATTAAATTGAATTCACTACATACATTGTTTTTATAGCGACTATGATTTTTTACTTAAAACTATCTGGACAAGGTAGAATCATAGTCAAAATGAAACAGTAATAATAAAATAAATTACAAAAAAATATAGAGAAAATACAGAATAAGACAATAGCATTACCACGCTATAACACAATTTGCACCATGTAGAAAGAAAAATTACATAATTTACTACTACATTATAATCACTATAAAATACACCAAATGGATACTATAAACCCAATACAAAATAAAATAAAGATAAATAGAATTCAAACCTAACATCTTCAAACTAATATCAACTTGATTTGTATTCGTCGGTCGCATTCTCGTCAACGACTAAGAACTTTATCAAACAATTCACTATATACGCAAGTATGCATGTTGAATCAAGCAATAAAGAATTTAGTTAACTCATTATATACGCAAGTATACATGTTGAATCAAGCAGTAATGAATTTAGTTAGATAATATTCCCACGAGAGGAGGTATGCAAATTCTAATTGAAGAAACCCAATTCCTATTTTCACAAACCCAAATTTCTATTTAATTAAAAATGAATTTAAATTTTTTTCTTATGTAAAGTTCTGCATACATTATTATTATTGTAAGATAATTATGTATTTATATCTCTAACATATATACTATTCTTTGTACAAAATTAGGTCGATCCATTGTCTCATGTTTCACTGTAGATTTTCAAAATTTTAAAAGTGAAATGTGTATCATATAAAATTTCAGTCACTATTCTTTGTGCATTTGATTTTGCTCTTTTAATATTTGAGGAATATTGATTTAAAAATTGCAAATTCAAGGAACTAATTTTATCCTAACATATTTTTTTATTTCAAGCACTACATTCAAAGTTTACAATACAAGCTACAAGAAACAAAAAATTAGAATAACTGCACAAAAACTCATTATACTCTCTTTTTTGGTCTAATAAACTTCTCTCAAAGATCAACTCTATACTTCTTCCTCACAATCACACTAGCTCTTACTCTCTGCACACCTCTCCCAAGTCACTCACACACACACACACTACAACACTTTATAACCAATGATTCCTCACAAATATACCCTTCTAACCTATTACAGCTATATCAACGCCCATAACTCCTCTTCCTACTTTTGAAACTTTGATTTGAAGCCAAATAATTGTATGGTCAATTTGTCACATCATGTCGCTCAATGTGCAGTGTTGAGGCACTATGGCAGCACTCCGGCGCTCCAATGTTAGCACTTTAGTGTTGAGAGCTTTATCTTTTGGTTCTAACTTCAATCCATGATCTTGCTACAGCACTCTAGAGGATAGCATTGAAGCATGCGATGATGGCGCAACAACGCTTTCGTCTAGCGTTTCAACGATCAAACCTTAACTGGTTAGTAAAAAAAATTCTTAATTTCTAAAACTAGCTTTCTTAACATCAATAATGAACATAATAAAACATTTACCATTCCTTTTATTACCAATCATCCCCACCAATGCTAATGAAATATAGCTCAAAAGAACAACTTATGATGAGTATTGAAAGTTCTATTAAAGGTAGATTCTTCAATCCTTCCAAGAACAATGAAAGTCACAAACAATATAACAACATTATATCCTTACACCCCATGCTCTACAAATGATAAGTAATATAATGCCCCTCTACAAACGAACTACGAGCCAAATTAAAGGATCAAATTTATTTTGATCTGTCCTCAGCTCGGATCGGGATTGGATCGAGTCGAAATAAATTCTTATGTATTTATATATTTAACAACTAAATGTTTTGTTTTACATGAATAATGCATTGTCAGCTCGATTAGTGAATGATTTTTTACTTGAGCGGAGTGCTATGGGTGTGAACGCACAGTTACATAGTATTGAGTGGTATGCATGCAAATATTTCTTATTAGATTAGCACCTATTTTAAATTTCTGCTTGACAAAATCTCCATTAAATAACCACCACACTAAGGGCAATGCAATAAGCCATAGACATATATGCTTCAAATGTTTAAATATCCCACAAATAATTCAAAACTACACATCCATAACAATCGGAATGTACCAACTGTCTTTGATAACTGGTCGATCAATTTTTTTATAAGCTTCTAAAAGTCTTAACAAGTTAAAGCTATTAATACAAAAATAGCAGGTGGTAATCATCATATTTTATAGGAATTTGTGCCAGCAGCTACCGAACATGAATCTATTACAACAAATAAGCACAGTTTACAAAGAATAATTAAAAAATTGATGAAAGAGTCTATCCATACATTTTGAAGTAATCTCCTCTTTTATGAAGTTTAAACGTAAATCTCTTTCTATATTACAGTTACAATGCAGAATCCCGTAGTACCCATGGCATCCAGGATTCAACTTTACAACATATCATGTTGCAACATATATATCTAAGAGAACAAAGCTTTTCACATTTACAAAATCTACATATTTTCAACATATTTCTCTTGCACACAATATGGTGCAAGAGAATATGTTGTAGATTAATTATAGATTACTATCACATCTTTTCATAACCTAACATATTGATCGTGTTGAATATGATGAATTCAGCCGATGTCTCGAAAATCTCTAAAATATTTCTCAATAAAATGAGTAAATAATTCACAGGTTTAACGGCAACCCATAGTTCTGGAATGCCCTTATTCTCCCATCCCATCCTGCAGTTACTATAACATGGCCCCAGGAATGGGGTGTCCTCTTCTGACCGGAAGTCCGAGGAAAGGTGAAGTTTTTTACCATGCTAAAAGGTAGCTTCTCTTCCGGCCATGTTACTGATCCCCACGGAACGAAATCAGCCAAGAACTTATAGCCTAAAGTCAGATTACTGGGAAGTGAGAGGTATAGAATCTTATTGGCCTTATAGTCTACATGACGAAGGAAGTCATATTTAGAGGCATTCAAGCTTGATTTTTTTAGGAAACCCTGCCATGGGATCACGACGCTTACATTACTTGAGGCGAAACGTTCAAAAGACTTGATGCTCTTCGAGTTAGTTGAGGGGATATGGGTTTGGTTCATGTGGTTCCAGATATAGACGTTTGAGTCCTTACTTGCAGAAACTATATGTTCCCCATTAGGAGTGAATGTTGCTGATATCTTACTTCCAGTATTGTGAAAACCTGATGAGGAACAAAGCCGATCTTTTCTAGAAACATATTCAGGGTCTCAAATGAAATATGTAATATTTCAATACCTTTGTATTTAGAGACAACATTGACCCCTTCGAGAATTCGTATTACCGAGTCTGCAGATGTAACCATAAGCCTACTGCTGCAGGTAGGGCAAAACTGGGAAGTGAAAGATCACGTGTTAAATGACGAATTAGTCAAAAATGTAAATAGTTTATTTTGGAATCAATGAACATGTTCACCTGAAAGCCAGTTATCCTCTTGTCGAATGACTTCTTTTTGCCAACAAATGAAACCATAGAACTCAGTTGCAGGTCATCATCTGAGTTGTGATAAAAGAGAAGTGAAATTAAAATTTTTAAATGCTTTCCTATAAAATAAAAAACAGACAACGTGAAGGATCAACTTGAAAAATATTGATTACAAAGACAGACAAACAGAAATACTAAACAATCACTTAGATTCTGTAAACAGCAGAAAACTAGACAGACTGGGAAGAAAAGTAGTATTCAACATATGAAATTGCAGTGCTCATTCCTCTTACCCATTTCTGGAGTACAGTGATGGGTATTTATAATCAAGTATGTACAGAAGTTAGTTACAAAGCAGAATATGAGATGGTGCTGATTTAATCAGTTATTCCTTAATGTTTTGGATTGTGTATGGTACAAACAAGCAGGGGCAGAGGTGCTATATTCTAGTTTGGATGATTCGTTGACGATTCTGTTGTCACCTCCCCAAAAGTTGAAGGGCTATCTTGGAGCATCAACTGGTTACACAAGCTAAGGTATGAGTTGGGGGACATGGATTTTGTGAAGAGATCAGCTATTTGATCGACAATGTTGAGGTGATGAGAATAATTTGATTAGATTTGATGCAATCTATGAAGACATGATAATCAACTTTGATGTGTTCTATCCAAGCATAGAAAACCAGATTGTTTGCCTGTGCTATCACTGACATAATGTCACAGCTGAGGATTGTAGGTGTTGTTTGTTTGAGCTGAAAATCACTTGGGAGTTGGCGTAACAAGATGATGTCTATGGCAGCTGTGACAAGTACCCAGTACTCAGCTTCGATGGAGAATCTGGCTACTGCAGGTTGCTTCTTAACATGCCAAGAGCTTAATGTCCACCAAGAAATGTACTATAATCGAAGATTGATTTTCTATCAGGGGGATCAACAGACCGATAAGAATCAGAGAATGTATGACGTATAGGATTGTCATGGCACAATTAGTCCTGCTAGGGTCAAGTGTTGGTGAGGTTATGTTGGAATGGGAATCTTGTTTTTCAATCAACCTGACATGAGGTGATATGTAACTGTCTCATGTTGCCAAATTTAGGCATTTGCACACATTTTGATTAGATGCGTAGCCTAGGAATACATAAGGAATAGAACTTTTCGCAAACTTGTTCGTGGCTAGAAGTTTTTGCCAGGGATAGCATAAACAACAAAGTATATTGAGATGTGTATATTTAGGTGGTTGTCTACATAGACCTTGAAATAGGGATTGGTGTTAGAAGTGGGAGATGAAAGAAGCTTGATTAGGTAAATGGCATTTAAGACTAAATCAGGCCACTTATAATCAGGTAGAAGTGTTGTAAGTTTAAGAGGGTGAGATACTTCTAGGATATGACGGTTCTTGCGCTCAATCAAGCCATTTTGTTCTACAGTGTTGGATCAACTATATTGATGATGAATTCTATGAGTATTGGATAATACTGAATTAAGGGTTTGTAAATTTAGGGTTTGTTTGGGATAATTTTTTGGCTGCTTTGTTTTTTAGTCGGTCACCACAACTCTGTTTAGCGAACTTCTTTCTTGTTGCTTTTTAGAAATTTCTATGGTAAAGAGCTATTTTTTTCAACCTGATCTGTTAAAGTGTGGTAGCTGCATAAAAGCTGTGGTCTGACTTCTTAAAATTAAAATAAATTTATAATAGTCACCGCAGCTTTTTGAACAACAATTTCTTATGCACCAGCTTCATAGTTGTAGCTGCCCCAAACAGAACCTTAAAGTTGTTTTCGATTCAAAGAACTTCAGCTGAATTTGGAACTGATATTCTCCCATTATTTTGAATTTTATAAAAAATTGCATGTATTTGTATTTGATATGCATTGGAAATAGCCGTCATTAACAAGAGTTTTTGTGAATAAACAAAATGCAATATCGATAGCCGCCATTAGATAGAGTGGGTGAAGTCCCCATACATCCAAATGTAAAGTAGCTAAGGGTTGCAAGCAAAAAAAAAAAAATAGATACAAATAAAAGTAATGGGAAACTTAAATACCTAGCACACAATTCTTATGTATTTACATATTTCACACGTAAACATTCATTTTTACGAATACAACACTATGGTGCTTTAAACCTATACATAAAAGGTGTATTTTAGTTTAAAAATGGTAATAGTGTTGTGTACATAAAACTGGAAGTTTAGCAGTGAAATATGTATATACATAAGAATTTTGTGCTATGTATGTAAAAGCCCCAAAAGTACTTCAAGGAATTTTGTGGTAGGTCTAATGTTTAGTGATGGATTGGTGTTGTCTGATAATTTGCAGAATTGCTTGTTGTGGGTGGTCAAGAAAATGATGCAAGATGTTTGCTGCCATGATCAAGGTGGCTAGCGTTGTGGAGAAGGGGACTGATTGGAGGAGATGGAGTCTGTCACAGGATGGTCTGAGAAGGATTTGGTTGCTTAGGCTATTCTTGATGATTTAACTAGACTTGTCAAATTGAATGGAATAAAAGTTATCAGCCGCTAGTTTTTGAACAGAGAGAAAATTATAACTTAAATTTGGAATATGAAGTAAGGGGGAGAGAAGTAGCTTACGAGATCGGGTAAGAAGTAGACCTTGGCCTGCATGTGAGATGGGGAGAGACTCGTCATTGCCTACTATGACTTGGTTAGGGCTTTGTTATGATTGGAGGTTGGTAAGCTAGTTTTGATCTGCTGTAAGATGTGATGTGGCATCTATATCATGACAGGTATTGGTTGCTACCATCGCTTGTAAGTTGGTTCGTTGATCAAATTGGTTGGTTCGATGCTAGCATTTGGCCTCTAAGTGCTCAATTTTATTACAGATTGGCAGACAATGTTTGGGGATTTATTGTTGTCATGATATCTTGTGGAGGTTTGTTGTTTGTGATACTAGCTTATAGTGATGGACCAGTTGCTGTAGAATTTAAAGTAAGCTCGACAACAACTTTGGATGGATGATAATGCAAAATGTATGTTAGTATAGGTGGTTTGCTACAAATTTCGTTGTGCTTCGGCTGCTAGATTTGTTTCCTTTCTATATAGAAGCAAATAGATATCCTCAAAGTTGAGAGGTTGGAGATTTGCTATGGTGGCGATTTTGAAGGCTTGAAATGTGGATGTTAAGCTATTTAGGGTGTAATGGATGATGTCTTTGTCCTCAAGTGTAGAAACAGCAGCCGCAATTGCATCAACATTGCACTTGATTTGTTTCTAATCTGATTCTTCTATTCTTCCCTACCCATAACATATGCCTCAGCAACCTTCCAACACAATATCCTAAGAAAATGATTATAATTTCAATGTCATAACCATTCCCCCTCAACTCTAATTTATCATGAGCAACATAAAATCAATAGTACATATCTAATTAATCCCAAAAAATCACCCTACCCAGAAATCACAAATTCTTAAGTTGTTTACAACAATTGAAGTACACAGCTACCTCAATGGGTTTACACCTCGATCAGTACTTGTTGGATCATCTCAAGAAAACTCAAATTACTTTCTATCGTTCCTCATCGATCAAAACCTAGTAGTTGTGCTTTCTTCACAACATTACCATCAATTTTACCATGTTCCCTAAGCGTAGAAACCTATAAGAAGTTCTGGTCCACAATTCAGCATAGACTTCAATTTACAAATCATCTTGCATTTTTCAACTAAAAAATAAGCTACAAAATCTTTCCATGAAAGATCTCACTACGACCCAACACTTTTCTATAATAAAGTCCAAAACTGAAGTAATTGCTGCTACAGGATCTAAACTAGAAAATGAGGACATTATGCATTATCCACTAAGAGGACTAGCATCCACATGCCAAGCCTTCAAGAATGCTACAGAACAAATCAGTAATCTCTCCACCTAGATGGCTTCTACTCATTTCCATGCAGCAATGAAATAAATCTGGCAACAGCTCAACGGGAACTACAACAAACAACTCAAATAACCATGCATATCACATTGTCATCTATTCAAGGCCTTGGTTGAGGTCAACTCAAACAAAACAGATCCAGCTACACAAACCTGAATCAATGGCAGTCCTCTTCAACTAGAAATCGTGATAATAGAAACTAAAGTCGTATTGTCTGCCAAATCTATAAAAAAGAAGGCCACTCAGACACCAAATGCCTGTATCAAAAAAACATCTCTTATCAACCGGCCAACTTAGAAGCATTGGTGGCAACTAACAAATTCAATTAATCAAGAATGTTTTCTGGATATGGGAGCTACATGCACCTAACTTTAGACCAGAATCAACTTAACAACTATCAACTGTATCAAGGCTAACAACAAATCGTAGAGGGTAGCGGCAAGCCACTTCCAATTACACATACAAGCCAAGGTCTTCTCCCTATCCCATCTCGTAAGAAACTCGTAAGCTACACATCTTCCCTTTACTTCACATTCCATATTTAAATTACAATCACATTTCAATCCAAAAACTAGTTGTCGATGACTCTCATTACAACAAGGACAACTGAACCAACAAAATTCTTCTTCACAGTCACCAATCAGCTTGCTCTGTTTCCATAGCTCTAAACACTACAATCTCCGGAGCAAGCATCTGACAAAATTATCTTGGCCACCCCCAACCTCAACTCTGCAAATTATTGCCTTTTATCTTTTACATATTCAATTACATATTCAACCTTTCATTACATATTCAACCCATCAAAAGATAATGCAATTCATGTAATAAAATAAAAAGCCACAAAACATATTTTTTATCTTTTACTTCTTTTAGTTTGTCAAGCCCTAGCTATTATACATTGAGATATATGGGGCCCTTCCCCAACAAAATCTAATGAAGGATACAACTATTAAATATCTTTTATTGATGAATACTCTCGTTACTGTTGGTTATATCTGATGCATACCAAATATAAATCAGTGCAATTCATTATACAATTAAAAGCAATGACAAAACATCAATTTTAAAAACCAATTAAAATTTTGCAAACTGATAAAGGCATTGAACATCCTACAAAATATTTTAGGCTTACATCAATACTCACGATATCATTCATAAATAAAGTTGCCTCTATGCCCCGAA